AATGTGCGTACTTATGGTAAATATCAGTGTGAAGCTCGCGTCATCGAAGAAGAAGAACAACGTGTCCTTGAACTCCGGCCGCTTGTTGAAGAACACTCTCTTGTCCTCAAATGAGATTGCCTTGTACTAGATCCACTTGTCCACGTGAGCCTCTTTGTGATGGACTTGATAGTTGTCTGTTCGGTAAGATGGTGCAAAGAGTTTGATGTTCTGGGTAAGCTTGCGTTTAGCACCAAGAACCTGCTCCGGCCATGGAAACAGCAGAATTGGAACTGTACACGGTCAACGAAACCCTTTGCATCTCGGGACACCACCTTCAAGCCATACTCGACTTCATGCTTTGCTTGAAACGGTGTGCCGTGAGCTTTCGAGTTTGCTAGCACCTTGTTGATTGACATCACCATCCTCGCGAAGTGATGGTAAATGGTAAATGATGTGTGTCCGTGTTCAACTTAGCCAAAGCCAGTTTACTCTTTACACTTTACAACATAAACAATACACTCACTCATTTTTGCGGTTTTATTTTTGGCGTACTCGGTACCGTTACATTCGGCAGTTTTGGCATTCAAGGGGCCGTTGCCAAATTTAAGGAGGTTTGTTCATAAGCCTATCTAAAACACGAAGCCAAATTTTTAACTTTGTGGCTACAGCACTCATGAACTTACACTAGAATTAATGAGGAATGATTCTAGTTCGTTTCTATATCTACAAGCTAGAACATCGATGATTTCATACCTTGTTAATTTGAAAGTTGTCGCTAATGATATTGAGATGTTACCACTTGCGCTTACTCTTCTTGCTCAAACGACGTTTTTTAGAGAATTTGAGCAATTATTAGCATATGCACAGATCAAGCATTATGAAACTAGCCTTAATGCCTGCAATAAAAGTTGCGAGTAGGTTGGATTCTATCCATTCAACCTCAAGACTAATTATAGAAATTTATAAACTATTATTAATACCACAAGCTTTGATATTAATTGGTACGTGAGTTATATTTACAATGTTTTAATTTTTTTTAACATAAATGCATTTTTGTCAATTCTGTTAGATCATTATATTTTCTAATAAAAAACTTTAAGTTGTTTCCTAGAATATTTTTAAAGATATTTTTATTCTTATGATATAACACTGAATTCCATATAAGAAATTTTTATTATTGAAAAAAAATTAATTATTTTTTATTATAAAAATATAATTATATATTTTATATGAATTATATGTTGTAAGAAAAACATTATTTTTTCTTATATGAAATATGAATCTGAATTTTGTCAAAAAATGATCAGTTTCATAAAAAATTTGAGTTCTAAAGCATCTTATACTTTCCATTCTAAGAAATTGATAATAAAGTTAATATATCATTGTGAACAATTCATGTCCAATAGATGTTTTTATACTCTTACTCATATTTTCATGATTTTTTTTATCTTCAAAGTAGAATTATATGAATTTTATGATACAAGTTTTTGGATAATAGTAACTATCTCATGTGATACTATACTCCACGACATAACATTGCTCCTCGGCTTCGAGTTGGTATTCTTCTTCTGTGTTATACTGTAGCCGATTTCTTTTATATAACTAGAACATAAGATGTATACCAAGAGTGTAACATCGAGTACCCAAACCCGAAAACCGAACCTTAACCGCCCGTACCTGTAGTGTATGAATGAGTACGATTCTAGATTTGCGGGCACGGTTTGATACCGTTCCGTTTTTGGGTTGACGTGTACATTAGGGTATCTATTTATAGTATGGAGGCGCAAAATTACTGATGGCCCCCATTGACAATGGGACAATCAGCATTGCGAACATATCCTATAAAAAGAAACCATTTAGGGTTTACAACGCCGTGTCCATTCCACATCCCGCAATCCTAATGTAGGCTTCCTCCTTGACATCGATGTCCAAGCCCAAGGATGTCAATGCTTTCAAGTCCAACGTCTAAGCTGACCTACTCAAGCCCATACTTGTGTTCTTCGGGCGAAAAGCGCATAGTAATTGGCACATGTCAGATGTGTGAAAGCAATTCTTGAACGTCGTCGAGTTGGCCACTAAGAAGCTCGCCAAGTTCAATGATTCAATCCTGTAACACCTGCATGTCGGTGTACGTGTTCGATTCCAAAACCAAAACTGGCTAAACACGTATGTTTCACGATAATCAACAAGTAGTCGTTGGCAGCTTTCGCGACGCATAGAGCACCAACCCAGGTTGAGAAGAGGCTTGTCTTGGATACAGCTGCCAACATGTGTGCCAAGGACATCTGTACGTTCCACATGGTCAAGGCCAGCGGTTTCAAGGCTTACACACAGACAATACTGAACATCGGCGTTAACTCCTCGCGCAACTTGAACATCGTCGAGCTGCTTCCTGCTCCAATCACCATCATCCGCAACATCGCCGATCAAGCTGCTCAAGGGCGCAAGACTTTGGCGACCGAGATCCTCAAGCACGTCGAGTCAAGCATTAAGATGTCGAGTACAACCAATATCTGAACCAACGATATCAATAAGACCTCATTCATGTCTGCCACGAGCCACCTGATCAATTGTGATTTCATTCTGCACCATCACATCTTGGCATGTTGTTTGTTCTTCAAAAATCACACTACTCGCATAGTCTCGACCAGGGTCTCGTCTATACTGGAACAATTTTCTATCACGGATCCTGCTAGTGTGACCGTCCTCAACGATCGAGGGTCTAACATGCACACACAAGATGCTATACCGAGCTATTATAACTAGTCCTCCTGCATCGATCACATCATCACAACAATTATCATGACAATGTTCGTCAAGACAACGAAGCAAGTCGATGGCAAGAATACCGTCCCACTCTACAAGCATTATGAATCCTCTCCAGATTTATTCAATCTGATCGATCACTGCAAGGCGCTCGCCACATATGTCAAGCAGGATGGTCTTCAAGAAGAGCTAGATAAGACGATCAAGCATGAGAACGTTATGTGATGGAATTCTTCGTTAAAGTGTCTGAGCACCATCGTGGATGCTTATAAGCAGCTCGTGGTGACGTTGACCGTCAAGAAGTCGACGAAGATCACAAAGATTGACGAGGAGTTTCTGCTAGAGCTCATCATGTTTTTTAGCAGTTCCAAGAGGCGATCCTCGCCATGAAGGTATTCAAATAGTCGACGCTTCAACCCGTGTGCAACTTCAGGCGCATCCTACTCCTTCATTGCGATATGATCACTGAGGATGTGTGTCACACGGCGAGTGACGGCACCAATAGTAAAATTGCAAAGGACTCAGATCACATCCTCGCCATCAAGCCGATCATTTGACACTTAATCGAGGAAAAGTTCATCATCTATCAAATTCACGTCATTGCCGTCTTGCTTGACCCCATAATTAGACGATGCCTCGTCAAGTACTGCTGTCGGAGGAATAGATAAGCAAGTCCAAGGAGAATTTGGAGTCATTGATGAAAGAGCACATCCCTAAGCACGAGGACAAGTGCGGTACTATCAAGAACCCTAAGACTAATCATGTGCATGGTCACTGGCAGTTGACAGAGTACATCGAGGAAGATGATTCGGACGGAAGCGAAGGAGAAGTAGCCGGACATATAGATAGGATAGATCAGACTGCGGTTGAAGCGCATACTGTTAAGTTCGAACTAGCCTAGTATTTCCTCCACATCTTCAATTATATCATCAGCGTCATCAAGGAGCACAGTCTTCTCTTCTAGTGGAAGATTTAGCAAACCTCCTTTCCCATCATTTCTCGAGTCGTTCATTCTGTCTTAGCCATTCCTGCTTCGAGTGCTAAATTAGAGTGCAACTTTTGAAACGCCGACAACACCATGAGTAAGAAGTAAGTAAGTAATCGAGCTGTCAAAACTGGACGACTTACTGTTTTGAAGATCTAGTCTTTTGTGCCGCCGATCTCATCACTAAACCTCAATAAATCCTGGAAGATTTTTCGGGCAGGGTACGGGACATTCCGGATAAGGTTCAAGATTGCACTTTCGGACGGGTAACGGGCAGGTATAGCGTATAACTTTGAAAGAAATGTTATTGTCTGATGTATACCGATAGTTTATCTCCTGTTCACAGCTTGAACGCCATTGATTGCACAATCTCGACACTCAGTTTTCCCAGTCGTTTACTTCAATGTAGGCTTACACAGTCCTCCACAACTGTTATACATGATACATCTTAACCTTATATTCATTCTCTTCCCCGTTGATCGTCAGCCTTTCACTACGTGTGATCTCTTCCTAAAATCCAAACCTAAGACTGGATCTCACAGAATTGTGACATTTCTCCATCCGAATTACTTCTTAGTTTTCTTTCATTTGTCTTTGAACACACATAACTCCACACCCGTGCTAGGATTCACATATTCTTCAACTTTTACGCTACTGCCGCCTAACTTGGCTTCAGCGTTACTATATCAGTGAAGACTTCCAGTCGAAGACGGAAGAAAACGGAGTTGACCACATTATGAGTGGACTCGACGTGTTCGTTGATCAAGGAAGCTCCAAATGACCTCCTCGACCCATCAATCAAGGCGTCAAATTCTACCCATGAGGCTTGATAGTAAAATCAACGCGTAGACTGATCGAGTAGACCTAGAGACTGAAAACCCGTTCGACAGTCATTGTCTCAGATGTTATCATTCGGAAATACGTGCGCTACTAAGGCCACAATACAGCCTACGATGGAGGGGTAAGGCTGATGAGACCTTTGGTAAAAGTACAGCTCTTAATTTTGACTACTACCCTTCGTAACTTAACAATAGCCTATTCGGTTATCACTTTCGGAAAACAATGCATGTCTCCTCACCTTACCACCATTCCTGTGCTGAACTAGTTTTCGTGCTGTAGTTCACTGCAAATGTTTCTGAACAATCTAGTTTTTAAAACTTAGTCACAGATCTCACGTAGTAAAGTACGATACCGTAACATCAACTCACTTCGCGAAATTACGCCATTTAAAATTCTAAGTTAACCATTACTATGCTTTAATGGTCTCCCACACTCGATTCCTTTGTACAGCGACCTGACATCCAGGTATGGGCTTTGTATGTCAATGACAATGAAGCAGGCCTTTTCAACAACTGCCTTCTTGTAATGTCCTGTAATCGGAATAAACACCCGAGTATTCCGACAAGTTCGAAGCCCATAAAATAAAAAGACCAGACACAATCACTCGCACCTACCCGGCTACCATTTCAGCCAGCAATCTCGTCTCTAAGATGCTTCTAGTCTGTCTTTAGTCTAATGCAGAACATATAAGGTTTTCAGACTACAGATTAGAACCAATTGTGACCTTTAGTACTACGTTCGCTTGTATCGAAACATCCTGAAAGTATACTTCGTATACAGAGCCTGATCGCCATTCACTTTACTTTACTTATGTCGTAGTTTCACGTGTTCAGAACAATTCGTTTCACCGGTTTACAGACCCCGCGCAACTCAAACCTCTTCCTTCATACCGCTAGACAAACTTCACTTTCGCAAAATTGTTTCCATATAAAATTCCGACAATTGCAAGAATCTTCGAAGAACTGCAATCCTCTGAGATTGTGCTCCATCCCCACTATGCTCAGATCCATCTCCAGTAAACCGTAGAGACTAAGGGGTAAACTTAGACTTAACCTGAGTACCGGAATAAAGCTTTCTACACAAAATCAAAATAGACTGTCCTTTGTTTGTAGTCAAAATGTGTATGGCACAATGGATGAATAATAATCTCAATAGTGCACTAATGTCAAGCACTACATAGTAGTTGCTACTGTACACAGACGCATGAAATATTAAAACAACAAATATATAATGTGAGACAAACTGACTTCAGAAATGATTTACAAGTAAGTGTATGAATCTAAATAAGGCAAAATTCTCTAGTCGAGAATATACATCTAGATCTACCCTACAATTGCACCTGCCATGAGTGTAAACCCGTCAGATAAGGGATTGGTTATGATCCGACTAAACCATATATCCCGATGCAGAATGCAACAACTGGGACCACAACCCAAGAAAAGCCACTGACACGTTTTCACTCAATTATCATACACAAATGCAACTGGCTCCTGCCCACAAACTCATATTGACGAAAATCATCCGTAGCTGCCATCACAAAAATTAAATGTGGCAACAAACATTTGCCCCACACAACAATCCCTAACTGTAGCTTGGTCAAATCATTGCCCATTTGCACGGTTGGGTTAGGTGCTGCACAAACAGCCATTCTCGTAAGTGAGCCTGTAGATGCAGAAGGGAGCACGAGAAAAATCTCATATTGTGAAGGGATGCAGGAAAAGAATGCTTGACCGTTGATGGAGGCAATACTCGGGTAGCCATCACAGAGAAAAGAATGTGCTCCGACCTATACTTCCTTTGAAATCGACACAACTTCCTGTCTCTTTACATCGCTCCTTGAGTTCCACCAGGTGACTGAATGTAGAAATCTCCATCTTCATTTGGACAATGGCACTCAGAGCTTTTCCCAGCAATAAGCTTGAGGTTCTGAGTGTGGCTTTTGAACATCTTGGAATCATAGCTATCACTCTGCTTGTACAGTCCCATTTGGAGGGGAAACCTGAGATATGGGAGGGATTAGATCAGCTTCAGCTTCAACCAAGCTTGATTTTCCGATGCTCCCACCATCAGGCATGAGTTCAACTGGGCGGATGCCTGTATCTGAAGTAATTGAAGGTTGAGTTGAAGAGGCGACTTGACCAGCTTCTTGGGAACTTGACGGATTGACTACAATCCCTTGCGGTGGAGATCCAGGTAACACCTGACGTTCCGCAGTGCCAGCCTGCTGTCGAGCTTGTGCCGGTGTGTCCGGCTGGGCGGGAGAGGCAGTGGAATCATTCTCGCGAGATATTAACAATGGCGGATTGCAAGACTGATCAGTATCTAAGACCTGGGGAACAGCTTGCTTGACGGTTGACGACGGGTTGTCATTCAGGAGTTGAGGTTCTGTACTGCCTGTAACGCTCAGGACTTGCTCCGGCATCGCCACCTTGGTTTCTGAAGACAAGTTCGAATCATCCGTCCGGCTTCGTTTCAGTGGTGGTTCACTTGCAGTTTGTTCCTGACCTTTCTCTGTCGCGGGAAGTGTGACCAGAGTTGTTGGCAAAGGAATATCTCCAGACAGATGAGAACCAGATAACAAGACCGTTCCAGGGGGATCCGAGTCTGAAAGCCCTGCGGGCACCAACTTGTAACTGAGGACACCACCAAATTTGGATTGGTCCTCAATAATCTTCTGTAGGTATTTGCCTTGCGCCTCGATCCTCAACTGGAGATGTCTTTGCACCTGCCAAAGCGAAGCAGATAGTTGATCAATGTACTACTTCCTAACAAACCTCACTAATGCCTATCTGATTGACAAACTTCATTGCAAAATGCACTGAGTGGCTGATGTTGAATCTGACTACAATACAAACCAGGTTTCACAACCCAAGCTAGGGGAATAGCCATCTGATTTTACAGACGTCAGACAAACAAATAAGTATCTCTATGCTGAAGTGTAGGAAGACAATATTCTAGAACCTTCAGTCTCACCTCAAGCTGTTCATGAAGTCGTTTTTGGACTTCAAGCTGCAAGCGCAAGGCTTCCGTCAACTGTATTCCACTGCAAGCTCACCACAATACATAGTAAATAACAGGTTGATTCTCAGTGGGACATCTACCTATCACAAATCAGACCGGATGAAAGAAGTTTATTGGAAACACAAAAACTCAGAACGAGAAAATCTAAATGAGCAACCATCTTAAATACAATAAGACGTACGATGTCTGATCTAGTTGTTGTATGATGTCCTGGTTCCTCTTCTTCTCAGTTTTCCCTGTAACAACAAGAAGTACAAACTTAGCTGAATGGTGGCAGTTTTCAGACTGAAAGCAGTAAATTGTATCAATCTATCCACCAAATACAGACTTTACTGAAACTGCGTACCTAAGCGAGGAAAGAGCCTTGCGAAACCCAATTTGCAAAACTTACCTTCAACACTGTCTGGGATATATTTGGCAAGCCTGTATTTCTGTAAAAAAAGATGCGTAATGAGTGAGTTTACAGACAACTAGAACAAACAAATCATGTCTGGGTGCAGATGCAAGACAAGAACTGCAAGATTGAAGAGAAATACAATAGTTACCTGCAAGTGACTCTTCACATGGTATATGGTGAGTCCCTTCACTCCCATCACTCTAAGAACACCTTTGGGTGTTGCTTCTGCATTACAAGACGGAATCTGTGAGTAGAATGTGCTGTAAGCGGATAGAAGGGTACTCTTACTTTCGCATGTGCCATCCATTGATGCACCGAATTGTGCCTTCAAGGCTCAGATGAAGAACTGCAAACAGCGAAGAAACGGGAACACATAGCTAGAAGGAATCTCCTAGGTCACCGCAAGATGTGACGTAACTTTTTTTGTAGTGCCTCAAAACATGTCAGGTTCACGTGGCAGAAAATATTCGGTAGAACTTCTTCCCATGCGTGATCAAAGAGAACTCCTGACTTCGCGGGCATAAAAAAACTAGAGTGTAGGGACCACGATGCGGGCTTTCCACATCCTGGTCGACATACTCTCGGCAAAACACAAATGATAGATATATGTTGTGGTTATAATAGACAAGTGGATAGTCTATGTCATACGGCAAATCTGCATGTTATTCACAGGAAACATCTCGAGACACTGTAAACAGACAGACACTTGGATGCCAAGTCCAACAGACACGCCTTCAGGTCTGCGACTTAACATAATAGATGTTGAGCCGGAGATGTGAAAAAAGGTTATCTGAATAACCTACAGATAAAACATGAAAAACATAATGGCATCGCTTGTGCCTGTAGAGCTAGAGAGGTTTAAAACTGAACATGTTTGTCAAGTATTTCTTCTGTCTGGTTGTTTCAAACATCGCCCTAGTGTATCTCAGATGTGTAACCCAGACACTAACGGACAATTTGATTGGGGTATGGCATCCTCTAATGGTCCAATTTCCCACACTCCCTGCTCTAATTCTACATTTAAACTATCCGTCTGATATCGGGAAACCCCACCGTAGGGCGGCGGGTTAAGGCTTCAGGCTCAATGAAAGAGAATAAAGATACACACACGGTTTGAAATTGCCCTATTGTGAATGCTGCTTGCAAATTAAGGGCAGAACCGTGAGTGTATCTCATAGGAAGATAAGAGATACACTCACGGCTTGCAATGAGTCAAAACTAGGCCTCAAGGATGAGAAAGATTGGGTTGACTCAATTCAGCAACCTCGCTAACAATATCAAAATCAAGTCTTGTAAACTTCTTGTTGGGAAAAGTTGTCGACTTCGATCATGTCACTTTTTTACATATCTAGCTACAAGGTCAAGGTGATAAGTGAGACACTCACTATCGGCACCGCCAAGATTTGAAACAGCTTCGACAAATCGCTCATGTAGTTCGGGGGTCCAGCGAAGTCGTTGCTTGGCCGATGCAGCACTATTTCCAGACGGGCCACAACTACTCGGAGGCTGTAAAAGTGCGCCTGGTTGAAGCTGATCAGAAGCTTGACCACCTTCAGGAAGCCTTAAGCTTGGATAGTCCTTAGACTGGTAGACAGTCTGCAACAAAATGAGAGTTAGCAAGCGTGCGACACTGCAAACAAGACGCAAGCTGCACACTTTTGAGGGTGTACTCTCCCGCCACAACCACATACACCTCTCAAGAGCAGTATCTAAACCTCATGTCCTGTCCACAAACTTGAATAGATTTCCCCATCTCAGAAACATCATCACTGGCGACCACGGCCAGTACAAGGATAGCAAAAGAACGCGAAATGTCGAAATGTACACGACTACATTTCGTCCAAATCTTGTACCAGTTGCTGAGTGCTGGGACCACGATTCCCACTTTTCCTTCTAATATCAACGTAGATTATATTGATGATAAACTTACACGCACAACTGGATCCCCGCCTGACTCGCAACCTGGTTCAAAATTGGTCCAACAAGTAGCTATTCCACTGTCGTCAGGAACGTACTCCGACCAGGATGGCCACCCATCCTCAACTGTGGCACCGAAAGCTTCATTACAAGGCGACTCGGCCATCTGGTCGCTCGACGCACCGTCAGGTGAGTCCAAAAACCTCTGCAATTGATCATTGAACTCTTCGTCTACGTCCGGCTTTGAGTGTCCAGCCTGGTGGACTGAATGCGCCGCATCTAGGTATTGCTGTTGAGGGTGAAGAGAAGGGGGATTTACAGAAGACTGGGGTTGCGGGGGTAGTGAATAGAGAGAAGAGTGCGGAGCACTGGAAGAAGGAGGAACAAGACTGATGCTCTGGCTGTGGATAGAATGGCTAGGGGGATTAGATGTAGCCAGCGGCTGTGGATGCAAAACTTGTTGTCTAGAAGGGGCTTCCGTTGGAACCATGTAACCTGCAGAAACCTGCAAGAGTGGTGGAGATTGGGGATTTCCCAGGACGGGCTGTTTGCCTCCATAATGCTGATGAATGAAAGGGGCAGATGAGCCCGGTACTGTGTGGTCGAAGCGGGGGTTCCCACATGGAGGAATTGGCGGCGCATTGAACTGCGAGGGCTGCCAGTTTTGAACCTTTTGTCTATGCATGACATCAGACGGAGGACCAGCAGGCCTTTGAGACTCCGTTCTCGTCACCCAGTGCATCAATACTGGACCTGTCCCAGTGTCTGCGTTGGCAGTGAAACCAACCGAAAGTGTCTCAAATCTCCATCGCCTGAAAGTCCTGATTTTCGACACGAGGAGGTTGAAACTTTTGCAAAATCTCCTAACATGAGCCTTTTCCTGAACCTCCGCAACCTACGCTAGAACTTAGAACACAGCTCACTCAATCCACTGCTTCTCATTCCTTTCACAAGTACGAGACAATACCAACCGGGCCTACGCTTTCAGGAGCCTTCCTTCAAGAAACTCGATCCGTTCGACACTCCCGGATTAATAGACCCTCCTCCGGCTTCGTAACTTCAGCTCGAGCCTCACTCTTCGCCTTGTCACATAAAAATACACTCCTAAAACAAACAAGCCACACTCTTTTCCAACAATGGACAGCTTCTCCGGTTCGGACAACAAACTCTTGCGTCCTTCGTACGATCCAGTAAACTGTCCTCACAAACCAGCCACGCGCATTCCCAATCCGAACTCAGTGTAAGCTCGGAGGTATCTCTGGTCCGCTATCCTGTCCCCAAAACTTTTCTCACTGCCTTTTCAATAAGCCTCCAGATCCACGTCCCGAATTTCCCTTCCTTAACACAGGTTCACCTCCCCTTCCTCTTGGTCGCCAATCCTCCACTTTCTTCCTCCCACGAAAGAAACTCTCTCCCTCTCCCTCTCTCAATCCGGAAGCGGTAGTCCGAAGGCAACGAGACCACCGCTGGACATAGACGCGCCCACAAACTCGCGTTCACACCAAACAAAAGCTCCACCGCTCGCTCAATCAAAACTCAACTCGTTCTCCGCTCCGTACAACCATCACCACACCACAACAGCAGAACTCCTCCTACCGTCTAAGCTCTGTAATCCCTGTTCCTCTACCCCGACAGGAAAATTGTCACCAATTCGACCCCGTATCTCGATACTTCTCGTAGCCTTCCTCCGACTGCTGCTGCTGCTGATGCTGCTGCCCTTGCTTCTTCTTCCCTCGACCTCCTTCAGCTCTCCCGCGAGCTCTCCTCTCCATTCCTCTCTCTCTCCCTCCCTCCCTCCCTCCCTCCTTCTCCCTGTCCTCCGCTTCCTGCACTTCTCTCGCCTCTCTTTCTCTCTCTCTCGCTCGCTCAATCGCAATCTGTGCGTCTGTCACTGTCTCGGCGACCGCTGCGGTCGTCGCTCGATATGCGAGGGGAGCGTCCGGAGGGAGGACGAGGAGGAGCAAGCAAGCGACTGGAGGAGCGGACGACCGAAAGCAGTGGCACCAGGCTGCTGCGCCTTGTCCTACCGCAAGGGGCTCGGTACGGACCGGAGGATTTGATCGCGGAGATCCGGAGGATCGAGGTGGCATGGGAACGTCGTTCGTTGACGTGGACGTAGACGTCGACCGCTTCCGGCCGGGAGAGTTCGTGGTTTCGTCACCGGCGAGTGGACGCCGGGGGAAGTTCTCTCGCGTCGACGGCCGGCTCAACGCGGCGACCCGAAGCCGTGGTCCCTTTCTTCGTCCCAAGGGCCACAAACCCTAACTCACGTCTGCTCGCCATTGCGGGCATCGGAGTCCACCGGGGGTCAGACCAAGCACACGGCGACTGCGCAGGGTATTCCTTCGGGACGCCGGTGAAAAGTGGCGCTAGCGGACACGCTCCCTCACCGCGCCCGACCACTCTTGGACTCTGGATTATTAACTGGATGGTGGAGGTTGACGGAACTCTAAGTGGAGCCAGTGCCAATTTTAGATGACAAAATCAAATATCCCGCACTTATATTTATATTCTCGGATGGAACAGCATAACAGGATATACTGTAGTACATCCTCCCCTCCCCTGCCCTCCTGATGATGACAGACAGAGCGCTGCCCATTCCTGATAAGATCGCCGAGGGCCTGAACCTCCGTTTTTCCGGATGTACCATCCGTCCCTAATTGAAGGGAACTCCCAGTCCGTCTGTCCGTCCGTCCATCCCTATCCATCGCCCCATGATGGACCCGACACCGAATCCAGTACGGAATCCGTTCATTTATGTACGTCGACCTTCAGCGGGTCAATGATGTGTTCGGAGTCTTCGGACCGAACGGCCCACTTCACATCCCAGAAACGGACTTGGACGACTTCCTCAACGGAGCGAGTAATGCAAGTAGAGTGGTGTGTGCACCGTTCGTCTCTCCGTCTGTGTCGTGCACGGAAGAGGATGGACGGTTATTATTCGGTGCGATGTTGAAAGGCCGGCGGCCGTCCAAAAGAGGTTTTGCAAGCCGAGTCTTTTTGGTGTGAGGTAGGCGGTTCTCGAGCCAAAGTGATGCACTGACGCCTGTTGCGTGAGCCTACAGCAGCTGTGATTACTTTTAAAAATTAAGTTGGCTGCCATCCGATCTCATAATAAAATACAAAATATTGAATATCTCTAGATTCCTTTGGTGATCAGAGTGTTAAGTAGGAATCATAATCGTCGGCCTGTATTCCAAGAAGTGGAATATCATCTGCGCTCAAGTTCGATCGGATTTCGAGATGTTTGCCTCGTGGATTGGCAACATACACGAGGCATGACTACATTCGATCCAGCAAAAGATCACCGGCCGGGCCTCCAGCCGGTAGCCTATGCGTGGAATACCGAGCCGCTTACCGGTTCCCGCAGTATACAAGAGCGAAGGGCTAACGATGCCCCGTCGTTGGAAGCCGCATTGCAACGCAGCCTTGATAGACGAGGCCAAAGGACCACAATTTCTTCTGATGTCGAGGACCAGGGAGCGCCTCTATCTCCCAAGAGGAAGGTCAAATTCGAGGAAGAATTGGGAGACTTTACTGGCAAACTTTCCATGTAGACACTTAATCCTAGTGACAATGTCCTAGAACAGATTCAAATGTCAACTGTGAGAATGGGGATAGAATCTTATCAGTGAACTGAAGTGAAAACATTCTGGAGAGGCAGGACATCACATCCGTAGGCGCAAAAGCGCTTAGGTTTAGCAGACGTCTCATGGAAAAGTAGGGCATGTCAGTGACTCATGCTCTGGTGTAGTTATACCGTACCGATGGTGAATTTCTTTGGTACGGTGCAGTTCGATTGGTTTTCCATTGCACATAAAAGATCTTCACAGGTTGAAAGAGATCCCATACTTTGAATGGATGTCAAGTTTCAATCCTAGTGTTGTCTTGGAACATGTGGCAGTTGGACCTTGATTGCTGTTGTATTGACGACCTCTTAATTAATTTCAATTAATTGTGCCCGCTAAAAACATCAGCCCAATCAAAAATATCACGAAACTGTTCAAGATCTGTTGTGAAACTTGGTAATGGGATGGAATTGACCCTTACGTTGCATGTTCCAATGGCAAGAGAGATCATTTAACAAAAAGTTCTTAACCAGCTCCAGACTTCTCCGTCTATCAAATTACACTTGATGCAAGTCTCTCCGTATCTGCATTTGTCCCAACATGAACACCATCAACCAGGGCCATCAATGTCAAGGATGGCCGTGCTTGAAGTATGCTTTAGTTCATAATCGGACCCATGTGAACCAAATCTTTGAATCCAATCTGCTGTATAGTCTGATCCATGTAAGATGTAACATTCTTACATGGATTCAAGTATGCATGATCACTTGTATTGAGATCAAGGCTTTGTTTTCTTCCCGCAAAGAATCATATCGAGTCCTCCGATCCGGTATTATCCTTCATCACCCCTAAACATTTCAAGTACCTTTGTCACGTAAATCAAAATTCATTCTTTTGTGCTGCCGAATGACAGTTACATTCAACCAGGTGTTATAACCGACCTTCAAATGCAGTTTTGATGTACATTAGTTTTCTAATCAAATTCAGGATAAAAAAATGACATTTTTGTACACGATGATCCCACGTAAATCTAAAAGGATGATATTTTGTTTTTCAGCTAAACATTTAAGGAAGTATAAAGAGGAGCTCTTTTTACGAACAGATTAGATTGTTGATGCACATGTGTTTCTATGTTTCATCCAATTCATATTTTCGATGTACTTGACATGTCATGAATGACGGAATATGTGCAATACAAAAGAATATAGAACTGAGTCAAAAATTCAAACTACTATTAATATAGGATGTGATTTTGAACTAGTGCTTGCCAAAATCATTGGATCTATAGTAGTTCGCCAAGGTAACCAAAGAATGTATTAAGGGTACTGTATATATGCGATATATCTCTAAGGCAAAGAGAAGGCCATGACGGTAATGATAAGATAGGAAAAAAAAAAGTAGCGACGATATGATTGAGCAAAAAACTAAAAAAACAGTTCTCATTTTAAACATACAGATAATTTTTTCTGCATGAACACTTTCGCCTAGAAAAAACAATCTAACTCGAAATGGTCTTCATATAAATGTGTGTACCATCCAGCTAACTTTAATGTGTCTGTTCTAAATTACCTGGTATACGTCTTCTATATCTAACTCAGAACAAAAGCTGTCCTAATGTTGGACATCCTGTTCCCGACAATCTGTGTTACACTATTCAGATCAGTCTGAAGTCACGGATGTACCCACACAATTAAAATAAAACGGGGCCTGGTGAAAAGCCAAAACCATGGAATGCATTTTAATTACTTACACTTGTAGGCCAATCGACGTTTGTCTAATTTAGACACATGCAGAGATGATTTCTTCTTGATACAGGATATTTCAATTTTACAATTATTCTATTACGTGAGGTCGGAGTCAATTGAATACATTTAATTATGGTGGGAGCAACTAGTGACAGGCAGAACATAAACGAGCGAGATTCCGAGAGCAGACGGAGAGGAAAAGTAAAACGAGGGGCGAGGACCAGACGAAGAAGAGCAAGACACGCAGTCGCACAGCTGTCAAGCTCATCAGATGGACCACTTCATGAGAGAGGGATGCGAAGAATGTCACTTGCAGTTGTGAAGTGGAGAACATGAGGAGTAAAAATGAGGAGTAAAAGCGGCTGCTGTCTTGACGCCCACTTTGCATTTCAACACCCGTCCAAATTTTTGGGGACGACCTCATTGGACAACACGTAGTTTGGGGCCAGGCATGAATCCACGAGTGGAAGAGTCCATGGCAACTTACAGGGACACATAAAAAAGTATATCCCAATTAAAGGAGGAAGTGAATCTTCTGCAATCTCACTTTGTGTGAAGCACCAGTACATGACGCCCGAAGACGTCACCGGTGCATACTGATGGTGATGATGATGGGACTCGATCTTACTAACAAAGCAGTTAAAGACGGGACGAATGAATTAATTACCAACCCACTGGTCATGAAGCTTCTCCACACTTTCTTCTATGTATGTCGCTGCCGTGCGAATCCAAGCCCCACCCAGCCGAGGAGTCGAGGTCAAAGGCTGTTGCCAACGAATCTAAGTGGACACACATGCAAGCGTGTGTGAAGGAATTGACGTTCTTCAGCAAACTCGGGAGGAACTTTTATGACCGGAATGAACATGTCATTCAGGCATTTCAGTATGCATCCTCATGTGCAAGGGTGTCCCCCATAATTGGTCTAATGACTGAGCTGCTGGAGCTTACGTTTCGAGGATTATATAATAATCCTCGACATCCTCCTACAAAATCCGACCGGAGCTCAGTGACTTTGAAATAAACAAGTGTTATCCGAGTTTTTTGAAACTGCTTATTATATGGTGCATGGATTTTGCCAGGTTTGCTGTTCAGCTCTGACAACAGCCACATGTTCAACGCTCATATTTATTTGGACGATATTATAGACACTGCTTCCATATCGAAGCCGGAATGACCTCCATGTGGATGCCCGAGACCACTGACAGAGGATTGAGGAGAGATGGACAATAATAATGAAGAATCATAATTCGAGGCTCACATTGAAAACACAGGCAGAAAACTCAAAACCTGAAAACATCCATCTAACCCAAAGAAGGTTTATAGAATGTTTTCGATCCGGCTCCCCGCATTCCCAAGGGAAAGCGAGAACTACGAGCTGATCCAGTTTTCTAAGTATTTCCTCTAGGGCAGACGACTACTGTACTGCAGTACCCCGCTTAACAGACTGCAAGACTGAAGGACCTCATTCGTCCATACTGGACACGTGAATTGTTAAGATTCGACGTGCTATATCTGGTGGACAGGACCTCTTCGGCTGCATTCAAAGCTCAAACCTGTAAAATTATAATGGAAGAAGAAAGAAGGAAAGAAAGAGAGACAAAGACGTCAGAAAAAGTATCAAAGTACAATGGGGGACGTTTTCAACGAGGATATTAATCACATTAGGATTAAGATAAGTTCAACTAGGTGAATCCCAACCTGGTTCTTGTGGGCGACTACAACGCGGTAAACACGCGCATCAGAGCTCAACATGCTGTACAAACTTGCAATGAGACCGCCAACAGTGAGTCCGGTGCTGTTGTGGTGATACCCGTCAAAATCAGAATCTTGAGTCAAGTATTCAACCACTGTATGCTTCGGTGGTACAACATCAACAACTGCAGCACCGGAACATCTACTCGCACCCGGACTTGTAATGGTGTGTTTCATTGTGCTTTCGTGCTTGCATTCTCCAGGCACATTCTTGCACGTTCTCCGTGTGATGTTTTCTTCCGAGGGATTTGTCTTTTGCAATTGTAGGATGAAAAGCATCTATCCAATTTTAGTAGCCATCGGAAGAGATGTTAATTATACTAACTTTCAGGCCTCGGCTGAGCCTGGATCTGATCTTCTTCTGCTGCTGGCTCGATGGCTTACATCTACTGCCGATACCCCTCTTCTCCTTGTGATCCTGAACTCTGGGATGGAGAGGAATTGTTTTGAGGACATTTCAGCTGAGCTGTGTATCCGGCTGAAACTTTTGATGGATCTGTGGAAGGTGGGAGAATGAGAGGAAAAAGAAGGAAGGAGAAACAATAAGACAGGATAGAGCACTTCCTCCTCTCATGATCGGTTGGGCCTTCGAAGGCCTACACCCCATCATTCCTAGTCTTCAATTGCCATCTTCAGATAACA